AAAGGTAATAGTGATAAACATCGTAGTGTGGTAGTAATCGTGAGACCGAAAGAAATAGCGATCGCAGTAGTTTGTGTTGTGCTTGTAATCGTAGTCGTAGTGATAGTGGCAGCAATGGTAGTAAGAGTTGTTGCTGTAGTCGTAATAGTAGTAGTAGTAGTAGTAGTAGCAGTAGTAGTAGTAATGGTAGTAATACAAGTAGTAGTAGTAGTAGTAGTAGTAGGAGTAGTAGTTGTCATAGGTTTACCACTGATAGTAGTAGTAGTAGTAGTAGTAGTAGTAGTAGTAGTAGTGGTGATAGTAGTAGCCGCAGTAGTAGTAGTAGTAGTAGTAGTAGTAGTAGGAGTACTAGTAGAAGTAATAGAAGTAGTAGTCGTATGATCAATAGTGGTGCATAGTAGTAGTAGTAGTAGTAGTAGTAGTATTGGTCGTAGTAGTAGTCGTAATTAAAAATAGTAGTAGTAGTAGTAGTAGTCGTAATAATGGTAATCGCAGTATTAGTAATGGTAGTCGCAGTCATGTCAATAGTGGTAGCGGTAGTGGCAGTAGTAGTAGAAGTAGCAGTAGCGATGATCTTAGTAATAGTTGTAGTAGTCGTGATATTAGTAGTGGGAATCACGGCCGTATAAATAATAGTAATCGTAGTAGTAGTCGTCGTAATAATAGTAGTAGTACTAGAAGTGGTAGTACTAGTAGTAGTAGTAGTAGTAGTAGTAGTACTAGTAGTAGTAGTAGTAGTAGTCGTAGCAGTACTAGTAATACTAGTAGTAGTGGTAGTAGTAGTGGTAGTAGTAGTAGTAGTCGTAGTAGTAGTAGGTAGTAGTAGTAGTAGTAGTAGTAGTAGTAGTAGTAGTCGTAGTAGTAGTAGTAGTAGTAGTAGTAGTAGTAGTAGTAGTAGTAGTAGTAATAGTAGTAGTAGCAGTAGTAGTAGTAGTAGTAGTACTAGTGATAGTAGTAGTAGTAGTAGTAGTAGTAGTAGTAGTAGTAGTAAATTTAGTAGTAGTAGTAGTAGTAGTAGTAGTAGTAGTAGTAGTCGTAGTAGTCGTAGTAGTCGTAGTAGTAGTAGTAGTAGTAGTAGTAGTAGTAGTAGTAGTAATAGTAGTAGTAGTAGTAGTAGTAGTAGTAGCCGCGGTACGAATAACCATCGTATCTGGTTGGTATCCACAGGACTCCTTCTGGAATCCTGCCAGATTCCTCGGGATCCCGCGGTTTCCTTTCAGGATTCCTCCAGATGCCCCATGATTCTTCCGAGTTCCGTACGAATTCCAATGTCCCCCAAGGATCTGTTCAGATTCGTCAGGTTCTCTCAGGATTCAGCAGATTCATTCGATACTCGCGGAATCTTCTTGGAGATCTCAGGATGTCTCTTACTTCCTCCAGATCCCGTACATTTCCGAAAGATTCCGTATGATTCTTCGAACTACAAAAAGAAGATGGTCCCTTTATTTTATGGATTCGTTCGGATACCTCAAATTCCTTGAAAATTCCTCTGATTCCTGGAGGACGCCTGACGAGCATCTCACATTCCACGAAGTTTCCTTGAGGATTCCTTTTTGGGAAATCCACACATTCCATCCGGATGCTTCAGGATTTTTCAAATTCCCTGACACCTCCTCAAATGCCCCGACGATTCCTCAAGATTCCGTCAGCATTCCCACGTATACCTGATACCTTCGGAGTCTCCAAGACCCTTCAGCATTCCCCTGGAATCCGAAAACCCCCGATGAGGTCCAAGAAGATTCGTCCGACACCTTGGAACATATGATAAAAACATCCCAAACACATCCTTGAGAGTCTTGCGGGCTCGTGTGGAAGCCGGAAGAATCCGGAACTCTACGGCATCCGAAAGAATCGTGAAGAGTCCCAGGGAACCCTGAAGAACCCTCAGGCCCTCTGAGGACTTCTGAGGAAGCCTGAGAAATCCCCAGGGACCCGGAAGCATCCAGAGGCACCCTAAGGTATCCCAAGGAATCTGTAAGGATCCTGGCGAGTCCGAGTGAACACACAATAAAAATCAATATTCGGAGGTCCTGAGGCATCCTGAAGAACCTTGTAAAGACCAAACGAAGCCGGAGGATACCTCAGGAATCCTAAGGAACCGCTACGAATGCTAAGGAGACCTGGAAACTCCCGAAGAATCGGGAGGAACTCGAAGGAATTCTGAGGAGCCCTCAACAATCCTGAGGAATCCGAAGGCACATCGAGGACTCCTCAAGAATGCGGAAGAATCCTCTCGAAAGAGAAATTATGGGGGCAGTAGGAAGAGACCATCTTCAATATTTATCAGAACTCCTGTACATTCGCCAAGATTCCCCAAGAACTCAAAGGATGCCTTAAGCACTCCGAACGGGCCCCTGGGGGGGGGCCGATAAGGAACAACGCGGCTGGAGCGTTTTTCCGACCTCTACAAGAAGCCCCGCCCGGAGGTGACGTTCAGAACTACGTTTTCTCTAAGAATGCCCGCTCAACGCAACCTGATACATTGCCGGGAGAACAATGATGAACAACATATGCAAGGCTATCGTATTGAATGGTAGACGAACGACGGCGCACAGAAGGATCGTTAAGTGATACGTGCCTTTCAATGTTGGTAGCATGCGCAAGAGTACACCATGGCCAGGGCATCGATATATCTGCCATTAGCTTGCGCGCCCAAGTGTCGAGAGTGAGAGGCAGATGCAACTTACTCAATGCCCCGGTGTGCTTCCAAGTGGACCCTTTGCTGGGCCGCAGGCATGGGCAGTCTCAATGTACGCCTCACGGCTTCGTTCCCCAGTGAGATGCCTGTCATACTCCGCGGAGCGAGTACGAGATAGTGTCCCGTAACATTGACAGGCGCATGCTTCTTCATGCGTCGGGCCCCATCCGCGTTGTTTCAACAGCGTTTCGGTTTCCATCCCCGTGTCGCTTCTGTTATGAATTCTTTTCACGGGTATGCATAGCCTGTTGATTGCACGATAACCTGGAGGTGATGTTATGCCCCCGTCTGGAAGTGACTGTCAGCCTTTGGTAGTCGTGACAAAAGTCATAAGAACTTCGTAGTACTGGTGGCAGTGGCAGTGGTGATGGTAGTGGTAGTGCTATTGTAGTGCTGATCATACCAGTATTTTGGTAGCAATAGCAGGGATAATCTCAACAAAACATTTACGGGCAGTACAGAACTAGTGATACTAAGAGCAACAGTTATCGCAATCGTGCTAGTAAGACTAACACTACTATCTGGATAGTAATAGTACAAGTGCTAAGTTTGTTCTTAAAATAATTCGGAAACCAGTAACACGATCGGTAATGGTACTTGTACGAATACTGCTAACAACAATATTAAAAACAACAAGGATGATCGCGATGATATGATTAATAAAAGTCTTAGTCGGAGTACTCAGGATCGCAAACGTACGAAACGTTTCACTAGCACGACTCGCCGTGACATAAACAATTATAGCAATAGAACTTATACTCGTACTAGAAATGCGAATAGTAAAAACAATCGTAAGAGTTAAAGTTAGGAGTTCGAGTAGTAGTGGTAGTGGCAGTAGTAGTAATAGCAGTAGTAGTTGTAGTAGTTGTTGTAGTAGTAGAAGGTAGTAGAAGTAGTAGTAGTCGTCGTAGTCGTAGTCGTAGTCGTAGTTTTAGTCGTAGTCCTAGTCGTAGTAGTAGTAGTAATAGTAATCGTAGTAGTCGAAGTAGTAATAGAAGTAGTAGTAGTAGTAGTAGTAGTAGTAGTAGTAGTAGTAGTAAGAGTAGTAGTAGTAGTCGTCGTAGTAGTAGTAGTAGTAGTAGTAGTAGTAGTAGTAGTAGTAGTGGTGGTAGTAGTAGCAGTATAGTAGTCGTATGCATAATAGTAGTAGTAGTAGTGGTAGTAGTAGCAGTAATAGTAGTAGTCGAAGTAGTAGTAGTAGTAGTCATAGTAGTAGTAGTAGTAGTAGTAGTAGTAGTAGTAGTAGTAGTAGTAGTAGTAGTAGTGGTAGTAGTAGTAGTAGTAGTAGTAGTAGTAGTCGTAGAGATCGTAATATTATAACTCAGATCGTAGTGGTGATGGTGATAATAGGTCGCCCTAGCACTACTACCCGTTCTCGCACTACTAGTAATCAAACCAAAGTAGTTGTAGTAGCTGGTGGATTGATGCATGTGAACCTCTGGGAAAAGCATCCAAGAATCATGATTGGAATGATTGGAATGGGTCTCCGGAATCCTCTGGTCCAAGGAGGCCTCAGGCGGCCACAAAAAGGCCAAAGACTACCACAACTGTTTGCCAGCGCAGACTCCAAATAGATCTGATTTGATCAGAAGACTGACATGAAGTGGACTGGAGTAGATTCAAGTAGACTGGACTGGAATAGACTGGAGTGGACTGGGGTGGAGTCTGCTGCGCTTAACTCAACTCTACTCTATTCTACCCGACTCGACTCTACCATATACCCTACCCTACTGTACTCTGCTCTACTCTGCTCTAATTTACCCTACTTTATGATACTCCACCCCTACTCTTCACTACTCTACTCTATCCTACCCTACCCTACCAATCTCCTTTACTCAACTCGACTCTACTATACTATACTCTACCCCTATGATGCTCTTCTCTACTCTACTCCTACTCTACTCTGGCGTACTCTCCTCTACTCTTCCGTACTCTGCTCTGCTCTGCTCTACCCTACTCTACTATACCCGACTAAACTCTACCATCTACCCTGCTCTGTTCTACTCTGCCCTACTCCGCCCGGTTCTACTCTACGCTGCCTACCATACCCTAACCCACTCTGCTCTAGTCTGCTCTATTATACTCTACTTATGTTCGGCTCTACTCATGTTCTACTCTACTCTACTCTACTCTAGTCTACTCTACTCCGTCCTAGTATAATAGACTCTGCTCCACTCGATGCTGCTCTACCATACTCATCTGCTCTTCTCTACTCTATTCTACTCTACTCAAATTTGCCCAATTATAATGTCTGATCGACTCAACGCCTAAGCTTGACGATTGTTGGACGATCGTGCTTTTTTTGTTCAGCAAACCTGCTCCCCTGCGAATTATAAAATCTACATCGCAGGCAGACAAACATGTCCGGAATGAGCGTGCGAGGCGACATCAGGTCGCCCTGCACATCGGGCTTGATATAATCCAGCACTTATAAAAAGAAATGTGGGCTGTATACTTCCTCTGAGCAGTCAGATCCTTGGCTGTCCAAAAGGCCAAGGGTCAAATAACAACGTGGCTGGGGTGCAAGCAACACTAGGTCGCCCCTACTGCGCGATGCAGAAGGCGTCCTTGTTTGCCCATCGTCGTGCCAGACACATCCCAGGACCGCTAACGCGACGAGTCATTACTCGCATCTCGCATCGCACACCTTGGCCAATGTCCCGAAACTGGCAAATGACGAACTTGTTTATCCTTCCCCGCCCCCGCTTTCGGAGGTATTATCCGTGCAACGGGAGGAGTGCACAAATTAATGAAAAGAGCAGAGCGCATGGTTCCCCACCCATGGAGGACGCTGGCTGGAACGCCGTGACGTTGAGGATGCCAGCTGGACAACTGATGACCAAAGAACGAAGCAGGATATAGTTGGGGTCATACTTTATAAAATTTGAATAGTGGATAGTTGGGGTCCGAGCCAAATAAAGAAATAACGGCACTTTGGGCCGAATTCTCCAAATATGACAGAGCATGAGAGTACACTGCAGCGCGACAGCGGTGAGAAAATGCTGGCCCTATCTTCTTGCGCCCACGCACTCCAGGGTATGACATGAGTGAGTGAGTTCCCCGCCCCCGTTTTGAGAGGTATTTGTCTGTGCAACGCCAGATACCAGCAGGACAGCTCGGCACTTAAAAAAATAAAATCTTGAACATTGGAGTAGCAGGCCCCAGGCTGCCACTGGAGCAGACGGATGCATGGCTCGCCCTGGACGCGGACAGACGCTGGCAAGGCAGCTCGGCACTCGTCAGACTCACCCCAGTCGCGGCTCCCTCCGGCTCCCAGCCAGGTGGTACGACCGGCCACGCGACCTCAGAGCACCCCGAGCGCTGCTAGGGCGACCCTTGCGGCGGGGCAGGCGGCGGGGCCAGCGGCGCAACGGGCCCGAGCGCCCCACGGCGGATTTCCCTCGAGAGGGCGCCCGCCAAGCTCCTCGGGCTGCCAGCGGCGCCTTCGCCCTCGGCGCCTTCTGCTGCCAGCGCTGCGACCGCCGCTGGCCCGAGGCAGCCGCGTTCGTCGAGGCACGGGCGGCGCTGCTTCACGCCCAGCTCCCAAGGCGAACACGCCGATCGCCGGGCGGCAGCCGCCTTCTGCTCCCAGAACGCCTGGGACCGGAGTCGGAGCGGGGCCGCCCTCGGCGGCGGCATCGCAGGCCCCATCCGGGGGGGCCCGTCCCCGAAGGACACAGTCTCAAGGAGCGCCTTCTCGAGGAGCGCTGGCTCGTCGCCGTCCCTCGGCCCTCGGCAGCGTGGTGGAGCTCTTCTTGAGCGCGTCGGCGTCCAGGTCTTCGTCGAAGACGAGCAGCTCTGACGTTGGGCATTCCGTGGGGGCCGAGCTCAGCCAATTCGACTCGGGGACACAACGCCTTGCCCTTCCACTGCTCGGCGAGAGCCGCTTAACGTCTTCAAACAGCGTGCGCGGGTTGACCATGGCTGGTGGGATGCTGGCCGGCCGGCAACCACATGCTGCCACAGTCGAGATCTCCACTGCCCCAAAAATGGCTTGAGCCAAAATGGCTTGAGCTGAAATGGCTACGGACGATTGTTGGACGATCGTTGGGACACAGTTGTAATAAACACAAGAAGCCAGTGGACTAGCAGAGGAAACCGTGCGGATACAAAGGAAACCATGCGGATAGCAGAGGGAGCCATGCGGATACAGAGGAAGTCAAGAGAATAGCAGAGGAATACATGCGGATACAGAGGAAGCCATGCGGATAGCAGAGAAAGCCATGAGGATACAGAGAAAGTCATGCGGATAGCAGAAAAAGCCCTGCAGATACAGAGGAAGCCATGTGGATAGCAGATGAAGCCATGCGGAGACACAGAAAGCAATGCGGATAGTTGACGATTGCAATTGAAAAATAGAGGGGGGGACAGTGGAACCTTTCTCTGCGTCATTGAGCCAGGACTCCTTTAAACAATCCACGATTCAATATTCTCATCACCCTGCTCCTTCGGGGGCGTCCAAGAGGGGAGGTCGCAAATCATGGCACGAGGCATGTGCGTGGCCCAGGGGAGGTCAGGGGGCGTGCTGAAATGAGAAAAGGCGCCATGAAATCTGGTGAGGCATCGTGGCCCTGGCCACGATATCCCTCCCCCCTAATCATCACTCCCTCTTGGCCGCATCCGACTCCTCGGGCACCCGTCAGGGCGCGGGGCATCCCTGGACTACGTTTCCTGCGCCACGCCGCGAGGACTGAGCATCGTTTGACAGAGACCCCTATCCCCATGGGCGTGACCTGGGCACGACTGGCCGACTTACCTCCCTAGATGCTGTTTCCTTCGGGTTTAGAGGGGCATATTCTCAACTGGATTGCTCAGATAGTGGGGGTCTGGATGGGGATGGGGATGTGTCAAACGATGCTGAGAGAAGGAGGATGGAGAGGGAGCAGGGAGGAGGAGGCGGCACTCCTGTTGATCAACGTAGGGGTAACTAGACGAAGGAGGAGGAGGAGGAGGAGGAGGAGGAGGAGGAGGGGAATGGGGTCGGACGATGGCGACGGCGACGGCCGCGGCGGCGGCGCAGGAGCGGCGACCCCCCCCACAGACCGAAAGGATGCCTCCCCAGACCACGAGCAACCCAGGGGGTCCGGCGCGCGCTCGCCGAGCTCCTCGCAGGTCCAGTTCTCGGCCCAGCCGACCCCGGGCTTGCAGTCGTAGGCGCACGACGAC